TTATAGGTGTTCAGAATGGTTTGATCCCTATCCAGCTGAATTCCTGAGAGGAGACGAAATCCAGGTCTCCTACTCCTCCGCCATCTTGCTCCGCCCCTAATGACCCCTTACTTAACCCCAGGCAACCCACAGTCTTCCAGACCATTAGCCCCCTAGTTACAGTCCAAATCCATATTGTCAAGGCTGCAATCATCTATAATTCAGAAAAGCCTTCTCCAAAAAAACCCCACAGACTGGCAATTCCCTACTGCGCTTCAAGTGATTAATCAACCAAGTCAATCAACATGTTCTTAAAACTAGGCTGAGATCACCTGCAAAGGCATTTCTAATCAACCAGATCTGAGCCGCGGGCTCTAGCAGGTGGGATCACGGGAATGATTTTGCAACCACTTTTCCGGCCCTTGGGGAGCCAGAGGTAGTTTCTGACAGAGTGAGGTGGGAAGAGGTGCATTTCAAGGAATTTTAGTAGTGTAAGTAGGCTCTTTCTTGTAACTGTTATCCAAGGAGTTAGAACAGACCAACCTCACGCTATGTCAGTTGCACCACTATATACAGAAACATGCTAACTGGAAGGAACATGACTTTTAGCTATCAGGAGAAATTAATGGGAACTTGGAACCTGACTGGATTGTACAGGTTTTAAAGCTTGATGGGAGAGGGGAGGCGGTGTAGATGAGAGACAATGTGTGGAATGCAGTGTGGGCTTGTTTTAACAGCGAGAGAACACTTTTAAAGGACACACACAGCTGGTGAGATAATGATGAGTTATATTGATCAGAAGTGAATCCTCACATGTTGGAGGATGGGAAAACATTAAATAATAAATATATAAAATGCATTTGATTGGAACAATGACCTCCAAAGCAAGATGTGCACAAAAAAATCCCAGAGATATGGGGAGAGATGTTAGAACTTCTTATAACGTTTCTTTTTACTTAAAATTAAGAAAGAAATTAAGCTTTAGGGATATTTAACACATGATTGCAGTGGGATAAGCATGCAATGTGTAAATGAGCACACACACATTTGGGTGTATAATTACACATTTTTCCTGGGAGAGAGGAGACCAGCAAGATCATTTATACATGAATATGTGTGTTTAGACATATTCTAAATGTTATGTTGGTAGAAACAAAATAGAATGGATAAAGTGTTAGATATTAACATAATGGATCATTAGACAGCTGTTAAAATGAATAAACTGAATTTAGATAAATCTCAAACAAAATGCCAAGTGAAAAAGTTAAGCTGCAGAATAAGGTTCAGTGTGATTTCATTCATGTGTCGTTTTAAAAACATACAAAACAATATCCTCAGTTGCTTATTAATGCATGCCTATATAGAAAGCTCAATCATGGATGAGAGCGGTGCTCACAAATTTTATAGGAGTGGGAACACCTGGGAGAAAATGAAGGGCACAAGATTAGGGAAGGCCACAAGGAAAGTCAGAACAAAGTGTCCAGCGCATTCACTCTGGGAGGCAATAGTGACTGCTCGCTGGTTTATTAAATTAACATCCTCTTTGTATGTTCAAAATATTTCATAGGAATCAAAGATGTGAAATGTGCTTACCTGGTGGGTCGAGGAGAACGTATCCTGGACCTGGATAAGTCACAGTGTGGGGAGGCTTCAGAGACTTTACTTTCTTGTGAGCTCAAGAGTGAGATGAGCTGAAAACAGGATGTTCAGCCAAGAGAAGCAGAGGGTGCAGCCAAGAGTAAACCATGCCGCTGCCACTTCTGAGCTGACCCTGCATGGGGCTCTCTGTTCATGCTAATTGTAATTAGCAGAGCCACATGCAAATGGAAATCAAATGATGTGGACCAATGTGCCATGCAGTCCTATGAACCCCATCTTGGAGGATTTGGGGTGAATCTGAGAGGGACATGAGAGGACAGAAGCTCACAAGGGCCCAGAAGGCCAGTGGCTCTCAGCTCCAGCTGCATGCTAGCAATGCTGAGGCAGCTTAAGTGTGCCTGACTCCTCCCCAAACCAATGAGCTCAGCATCTCTGGGAATGGAGACCCGCATGAACATTTAATTGAAAGTTCCCCAGTTGATTCCAATGGACAGCTTAAGCTGAGAATCTTGGGCTATAATGTGTGCTCTGGGGCTCCAAAACCATGGATTCTGTCTGGTTTTACTCCTGGGCTGGTAATAACCAATGCAACTTGTGTTTGCTTTGCTTGCCCTGCTGTTTGCCTTTTCTGCTCAGACACAGACCCCAGTGGGAAATGGAGGGTAGAGTCAACCACCTTTAAAGAATCTGAGACCATATGATATGGTGGCCCTGTCTCCAAAATAAGGAAATGAACTTTCTGTAACAAAAAATACCTTGGCCCCTAAAACACACAGCTAATTAATGGTAAATACAAGATTCAAATGCTGGTTTTCTGATACCATCTTGAAAACAAAATAGAGGGAAGTTCTATTAATAAGGGTTTATTTCCCAGAAGCGATCCTGGTAACCTGAACTGGCTTGAGAAGGTGCTACTGAGTGGACCTTCTTTTGAGCACAAAATAATTTATAATTACCCTAATTTTATGGAAACGAGAGCTTCTCAAACGTGAAATTTCACAAAAAACATCTCATTCAGTTAACTATTTTAAGTATTCCCACTATGATCTTGTTTTTAACCTGAAATTGTTTTATTTTTGAGGGAGTGTTTGCTTAGAAATGAAAAGCTCTAATCTACCCTCTGTTTGAATGGTCACACATTAACATTACTGGAAGCCAAATTAATAAGGAACTGAAGGGCTCTTTACTTTGAGAGGCTTGGAATGGAGTGGGGTCAATAATAAAAATCAAAAAATAATAATAGCCAACACTTATTAGCACTCGCTGGGCCCACTTCTAGGTCTCTAAGTGAAAGGGTTACCAGATTTAGCAAATAAAAATACAGGACACCTAGTTAAACTTGAATTCTAGGTAAACAACAGGTAAAAGCAAGTTTTTCATATTTTTTTTGATGATTCTATCAACTCGTGAACTGAATTAACTGTTTAATCCTTACAACCTTATGAGGTAGTTTCTATTATAATTCCCATGACACATATGAGAAAATGGGGACAGGAATGTTAGATAATTTGTGCCCAAAGTGACAGAGCTACTATGTGGCAGACTTGAGATCTGAACCAAGGAAGTCTGGCTCCACAGCCTCCTAATTTAACCACAAGGATATGACTGATGCCTCTCAAGAAATAAGGTGAAAGCCATTCAGCAACTATTCAGTCAGTAAACATTTATTCTGTGTCTTCTATGGGCAAGCACTGTGTTTAGGGGAAGGAACTGAAGCCTGAGAGACAGACTTGTAAAAGTCATTTTCATTTTTTTTATTCTCATTTTGGCCTATTCTTTTTTTTAGTATCTTTTTTTTATTATGTTATGTTAATCACCATACATTACATCATTAGTTTTTGATGTAGTGTTCCATGATTCATTGTTTGCATATAACACCCAGTGCTCCATGCAGAACGTGCCCTCCTCAATACCCATCACCAGGCTAACCCATTCCCTGACCCCCCTCCCCTCTAGAACCCTCAGTTTGTTTTTGAGTCCATCGTCTCTCATGGTTCATCTCCCCCTCCGATTTCCCCCCCTTCATTCTTCCCCTCCTGCTATCTTCTTTTTTTTTAACATATAATGTATTATGTTTCAGACGTACAGGTCTGTGATTCAACAGTCTTGCACAATTCACAGCGCTCACCATAGCACATACCCTCCCAAATGTCTATCACCCAGCCACCCCATCCTCCCACCCCCCACCACTCCAGCAACCCTCAGTTTGTTTCCTGAGATTAAGAATTCCTCATATCAGTGAGGTCATATGATACATGTCTTTCTCTGATTGAAAAGTCATTTTCTTCTGTGGGCTGCTCCTTCCTCCTGGTACAATGAAAAGATAAAGCCAGATCATTGGTTCTCAACTTGGTCAGGCAACTTGGGGACTTGCAAATGGCTCTGCTCATCTCCACAGATTCCAAGGGGTTTAGGGATGGATTTTTGGAATCTGGATTTTTTTAATTTTTACTTTTTTTTAGAGAGGGAGAGAGCAAGTGGAGGTGGGGTGGGGAAGAGCAGAGGGAGAGAGAGAAAGAGAATCTTAAGCAGGCTCCACACTTAGCACAGAGCCCGACATGGGGCTGGATCTCTCGACCCTGAGATCATGACCTGAGCCAAAATCAAGAGTCAGATGCTCAACTGACTGAGAAACCTAGGTGCCCTGGATTCCGGATTTTTTTAAAGAAAGCTCTCTCATTGAAGTCAACGAACCTGAAGTTCGAGACCCTCCAAATGAGATATTCGCTGTACTTCATGATACTTAACTGTGGCTGCACAGTAGAATCACCTGGGGAGGTGGTGACTCATTGGGTGTGGGGTAGAGCCCACTGAGTGATTACACTGTGGGAGCCAAGGCTGAGGACCACTGCCATAACACCCCGCAGCTCTAACTTGATTCAGTGGCAAGTGAACACCCATGGTTAGAACACTCCTGAGTGGGTGAGGTTAGAGATAAAAGGGAATAAGAGAATTGATGTTCCTTCATGGTATAAGACCTGCTCCTTACCTGACATGTGTACATTCATTTTGCGTCAGTGAATTCAGCATATATACACTGAGAACCTACTGTAAGCTTGGTGGGGAGATATATAGAATTAAAGACTATATAATAGGGATAAAAGGTACAGCAAAGGGAATATAGTCAATGGTACTGTAATAGCATTGTGTGGTGATGGATGGTAGCTACACATGTGATAGCATAACATACAGACTTGTCAAATCACTATGTTGTCCACCTGAAACTAATGTAACATTGTGTATCAACTATACTTCCATTTTTTAAGAAAGACTATATAAATGCCTGAGTGTGGTTTATTGTATTGCCACTGCTGAAAAGTCTGTCCTCAGGGAGCACGGCAAGGGGGTGGGCAGTGAGTACCATGGTCCCACCTTCTTTTTGTGGACTCCTGAGATTTTGTATCCTTCACACAGCTTTTGAAAGTCTCCAGGTGGGTAAGACACTCTAGGCTGGAGATGGCTTATAGAAACCTTAGAGTTCTCAAAGCCCAATATATTTCTTTCATTCAACAAATATCAGCTGAGTACTGAGCACTGGGCTAGATTATGGGGCAATAAGATTAGTCAAGACAGACAAGACCCCATGGTATTTATATTCACTCTAAGGTAGGGTCAGGTGACATAGCTTCCTCCTAGCAAATATGGTGCAGGTACAGAATCTTTGGCCTAACTGCAACCCATTCTCAGGCAAAGGGGCTGTGGCATATCCCAACAAAATTCCGATGCTGAAACCCAGGTACAAGCAGCACCATCTCAGTGGCAGGAATGAGGGCCACATTGCTGAGATTTGGGACAATGAAGTCTGCAGAAGCTCTCTTCTGAAGGCGCTGGTCAGCCATTTACCCCGTTCTTAGCATTCACGAAGTACCACCTAAGATGGCTAAGTTTTTCTGACTCCAAAGTTTGTGTGCCTGGCTACAACCCTGTACTTCTTCTTCCATAGATTCATGGCTAAAGACACCATGTTTGGAATCAGACCCTGGTTAACATCTGACTCTGCTTCATGCTGGTAATGTGATCTTGGGAAGATTGCTACAGACCTCTGAGCTTTGTTTTCCTTTTCTACAGTAAAGGGAGTTTTGACGAGAAAACAACTATTTTGAGTTGCTTCCCAGGCGCTTTACAGTATGACAACCCTGCTCACACCCAGAGTCTGGACATTTAGATGAGAACTTGAACTTAGGATCCTGCCACATGTTCCCACCTTGCTTTTCCTGGGGCATCTTTTAAAATAACCACTTAGAATTGAGCCCTCAAAAAGTTAGTGGCCTCTGCCCCCAACCACCTTATAACTAATAGGTGCTTGCTACTCTGCTCTCTATCTCATGCTCACATTCATGACCTGGGATGGAGGATTGCCCTTTCCCCAGCTCATTTTGTCCCTGGTCTAAGATCTCTAAGTAATAAATCTTGTGATTTTAATTCCTTTGTGTGAGTGTACTGAAACTGTGCCTTCAAGTTTTTAATTCCCCAAAGTGGGAGCTCAGATGCCTTAAGTAGCTACCCGCTGACCCCATGTGTGTGCCTTTCCTTCAGCAGGTCATAATCTGCATATTTTTAACTTAGTGCACTAGCTCTGGGTTTTCCAACACAGAAGTATTGCCACATTTCCAAATCTAAGGCACACATTGTTTTCACATTTTTAAAACATTTCTCAAATTAGAATGTGACATACAATTGATTTAGACATTTAAAATGTTAATTTTCTCCTCCTTAGTTTCTGAACTGATAGTGCATTTAACAATTTATGGCAGTTTAGAATAGAGAAAATACAGCAGTAAGACCTGAGTAAGATAACTGATTAGTTTAAAATTTTCATTGGGTTTCACTCTAGGTTGGTTATGGAAAACATTCACTGATTCCTTGACTCATCATGGGCTTGCTACATTGCATTGTACTAGATAGACAGATATGATGGTAAATAAGAAAAATTAAATTACTGCTCCTGTGGAACCTTCAATTTAATGACAGAGACATTTAAAAAAATTATTATAAAAGCAAAACATTTAGACTCAGATTCAACTTCCAACAGAGGGACATTAGTGGAA